TGTTCTCCTGGGAGACGGCCCGCGTGACGATCTTTGCAGGCACACGTGTGCACGCGTGGACTCACACACACGCGCGCGCACCCCACCTCACAGCCCGTGCTGCGGCAGGAGTCCAGCTGGTGGTGGGAGACTTCAGTTCCATCTGGATCTATTGCCAACTGCTGTGTGGCCTTGGGCAAGTCACCACCTCTCCCTGGGTCTCTCCCAATATCTTCAAATATTTCATTGGAAATGGATTGTGTAACTCACTGCCTCTGCAGACCGTGCCCCCAGCTGCCTGCAGCTGTCCTGCAAAAGGCTCCTTCCCTCCAGGAGCACCATGCCCACAGCCTCTCTCCAGTCGGCACCCACACCTCCCCTTCAAACATCGCCTGATGCACCGTTCCAAACGGACTACACAGTGGGACCATCTGGCAATTTAAAAGGATGCCAGTGCCCGGGTCCTGTCCCCCGAGATTCGGATTTAGTTCCTGTGGGGACAGCAGGGGCATGTGGACCTCTAAAAGCTCCCATGCAGTTCTGAAGTGCAGCGAAGTCCAAGAAAGACGGCTTTCGTGCCATCCCCACTCACGCAGAGACCCAGAGTGGGGCTCACCCCTCACACGCAGCCTCTCTGCGTGCCCCACACACGGACGGACACCTAGTGTGGTAGCTGCTGGTGACTTTCTACCCTGGGCCCCTTTGAGGGGCTGAGCCCTGTGCTGGTCCTGCCCCCGCTTCTTGGCCTGCCCCCAGGATGCTCCTGCCCTCAGGTTTAGGGATGGCCACACACAGGTTGTCAGAAAGAGAGGCAGGATTCCGGCAGAGCTGGGTTTGAACATGCCCCAGCAGGGCCCACGGGAGGGACAGGAGAGGACAGGGCCATAGCAGTCCAGTTTGCTTCGTGCCTCTGTTCCATACACGTGCCCGGGAAAGGGCAGGACCTGCCCCAGAGCGCCTGGTGGGGTTGAGCTGAGCTCCCATCCAGGACAGGGTGGCGTGTCCACAGAGCTCCCCGCAGGCCGGGCAGAGGCCCCAGGAGACGTCTGGGTGCCTGGACCGTCCCACAGGCACAGCTCCTGCCCGCTTTCGAACATCATGGGGGAGCTTGTCTCACAAGTGTCTTCCGACAGTTCTTCTGAGGGTCTCACTTAAATTCCTCCTGCTGTGGGCCTCGTCCTGCTGGGCATCCTGTGTGGGAGGGACTGCGGGCGGTGAAGCCAAGGCGTCTTCCGGGCTGAAAGATGCTGGGCGGCGGGCCTCCTTCTCCAGCGCTTGGTGCTGGGGAGCAGCTGTCCGTGCAGAAGCAGCTGGAAGACATGGGCCTCGTGGGAGACAGATTACCAGACACACCTCTAGAGCTCAGTCTGTGACAGGACCTCCTGACCAGCCAGGGACAGGGGTATGGGGGAGGCTGGGGTGGAGGAGAGGTGTTTCGGGTGACCTCTGCCCCAGGGGCAGCCCGTCGGTCGGGCAGGCGGACGTCCCAAGAGCCTTCTCCGGGTGGACTTGGTTCTGGGGGTGGGGTGGGGTGGGGAACACACACTCCCCTACACACACACACACACACACACACACACACACACACACACGAGGAGCGTGTGGCACGCAGTGAGATCATACTTGGGCAGAGTGCTGACGGCGCTCCGCGGGGGGCCTGGGGGCCCGGAGCGGGTGGCTCATCTCCAGCAGGAGCTGGTTTTGTGCAGGGTTTTGGATACAGGGGGAGGGCTTGGCTGAGGAGGAGAGCAGGAATGCTTCAGGTGTGGCGGGCGTGACCGATGTGAGAGCTCGGAGGTGGAGGAGGGTGAGTCATCCCGTGAAGGTCCGCCCGTCCCGGCGGGAAGGACTCCTACGTGTCCTGACACAGGAGGTGCCTCTGTGTTCAGACCCCCGTAGGTGAGGGGGCGTGGGCTGCCCTCGTGACACAGGACAGAGTCAGGCAACCATGCGGGACCCAAGGGAGGCGGCACCCGGGACCCTGACCAGCTCTGAGGTGGCTTTTCCCCCTGAATCACTGACCCGAAGGGAGGCTCGCCGCGTGGGCCGGCAGAGTGGCCAGTGTTGCTGGTGCACAGGGAAGGCAGACCTTTGCTCCCTGACCCTGGGCTTCTGTGGGTGGGCAGACGCCTCCTGACAGACGCACAATTGGATCATCAGATTCAAGGAGAGACCGCTGTCTTGGCTCAAGGCCCACAGGCCCTTCCAGAGAGATGGAGGGTGCAATGCTCCCCGGGAGGTGGGGAGACGGGGCGGGCTGGGTGCTGGGATCCCCTCCCATCTGCTCCTGGACCAAGAATCCTCCCCAAGGAAGTGTTCTAGGTTCTCTCTCTCCCCGTTTGCAGACCCACCGAGGACCTCTTTGGGTGGGAAGGGGGCCTGGCTAGGTGGAGTCCAGGACTGCGGTCCCATGCTGCAATTATGGGGACACTGAGCCCCCAGCACCCTCAGCATGAGGGCTGGGCAAGGGGACCGAACCTCACCATTCCCTACACCGAGAAGACAGTCAGGCAGGGGCCCAGAGACCAGGTGAGAGTCGTCAGGTAAGGCTTCCTAGGAGTGAGGTCCAGAGAGGTCCTGGGGCCAGGGGAGAGCCTTCCCATCCTCTCAGTGAGAAGCCGCATGTTCCTGCTGTTGGACCTGACTTTCAGAGGGTAGCACTCCCACAGGGTCCAGGGAGGGTAAGCTCACTTCTGCCATGGGAACGACACTCTTAGTAACAGCCCAGCTCCTGCCTGTGCCCCTCGAGGTATCTGGCACACCGCAAGGTGTGACTTCAAGTGTGTGACGTCTCTGGACTCCCCTCCCTTGAAACCTTGGCCCAAGGGCAGCTGCCTCCTGCCAGAGAAGCAGCGCTGGCGGTGTGATGGCAGTCTCATTCTCACAAAGAGGCCAAGCCAGGCAGCTGAAGATGGGAGTCAGGTGGTCTGACCCCAGATGCAGATGATCTCGGTGGGGGGCACCTTCAGGAGTGAGAAGGTATTCCAGAGGTCATCTGCCTCCATGGCAGAGAACACCCCACTGTCATACGGAGAAGAATGAGAGGGAGGCGGGCAGGTGCAGGGTGTGGAGGGGATGCTTCACCGGATGACCGGGAGTGCGAGTGAGTGACATCACTGCTGACAGACTCCCTCCTGGGAAGGGGCGGCGCCCCGTGGGAGCCTGGACTCCACGGGGCCTCTGGGGCTGCCTCTCCTCGATCTCTTTGTCTGTCACCACCCCGGGTTTTCCATCCAGAGCAGCTGGCTGACCCACGCTCGCCCTTGGGTGAGAAATTCCTGCCCAGTGGGGCAATAGCCAGCCAAGTGAGCCCTGGCCTGCCCCGCCCTGGGAGGGATGGCAGAAGGGGCCTGGATGAAGGGGAGCTGTCGGCCGCCTGGGGTCCTGGCCGCGGCCCCGTGCCTGGTGAGAGCTAGTTCTGGGCGTCCGAGCCCACGATCCTGCCTCCAGACTGCCCCCCGACAAAGGCAGCGCTTCTCGAGGGGCAGCTTCTGGAGGAAGAGGCACAGGCTGCCCGCACTCAGCAGGGGGCTGGGAGTAAGTCCGAGGGGTCAGGCCTGGGCCTGGGGCTGCCTGGGGTGGGGACACCCGGGAGGACGCCGAGGTGGGCAGCAAAGGAGGTGGTGATGGTAG